ATGCTGAATAAAATGATATTTTAACATACTTTACTGGTTGTCAGTGCGGTTGGACCTTTTGGCGGTAGGAATGTGAGACAATATATCCACAAGAAAGTGTAATTACATCAACTTTTCAAAGCGCTGGTAGTGTATTCAGATTTCTATCACCTGAAGCAGGCACACAAGATAAAAATACATGCATGAGACATATGCATACTTGCTGAGCTCGTGCACGTGTTTACATGGTTATGTGCATGCTTCATGTGATATACAGTGCATTTGGAAAGTATTCAGACCGCTTCCCTTTTTCCACATTTTGTTACGTTTCAGCCTTATTCTAAAATGGATCAACAAAAAACCCAAACTCAAATCTACACACAATACCCCACATTGACAAAGCGAAAATAGGTTTAGACATTTTTGGAAATGTATATATTACGGTGGCAAGAAAAAGTATGTGAACCCTTTGGAATTACCTGGATTTCTTCATAAATTGGTCATAAAATTTGATCTGATCTTCATCTAAGTCACAACAATAGACGAACAGTGTGCTTGAACTAATAACACAAATTATTGTATTTTGGTCTATATTGAATACATAATTTAAACATTCACAGTGTAGGTTGGGAAAAGGTATGTGAACCTAGGCTAATGACTTCTCCAAAAGCTAATTGGAGTCAGCTAACCTGTAGTCCAATCAATAAGACGAGATTGGAGATGTTGGTTAGAGCTGCCCTGCCCTATAAAAAAAAAAGAAAAAGAGTTTGCTATTCACAAGAAGCATTGCCTGATGTGAACCAAGCCTTGAACAAAAGAGATCTCAGAAGACCTAAGATTAAGAATGGTTGACTTGCATAAAGCTGGAAAGGGTTACAAAAGTATGTCTAAACCTTGATGTTCATCAGTCCACGGTATGACAAATTATCTATAAATGGAGAAAGTTCAGCACTGTTGCTACTCTCCCTAGGAGTGGCCGTCCTGCAAAGATGACTGCAAAAGCGCAGAATGCTCAATGAGGTTAAGAAGAATCCTAGAGTGTCAGCTAAAGACTTACAGAAATCTCTGGAACATGCTAACATCTGTTGACGAGTCCACGATACATAAAACACTAAACAAGAATGGTGTTCATGGGAGGACACCACGGAAGAAGCCACTGCTGTCCAAAAAGAAAACACTGCTGCACGTCTGAAGTTCACAAAAGAGCAACTGGATGTTCCACAGCGCTCCTGGCAAAATATTCTGTGGACATATGAAACTAAAGTTGAGTTGTTTGGAAGGAACACACAACACTATGTGTGGAGAAAAAAAAAAGGCACAGCACACCAGCATCAAAACCTCATCCCAACTGTAAAGAATGGTGGAGGGAGCATCATGGTTTGGGGATGCTTTGCTGACTCAGGCCCTGGACAGCTTGCTATCGTCGACGGAAAAATGAATTCCCAAGTTTATCAAGACATTTTGCAGGAGAATGTAAGGCTATCTGTCCGCCAATTGAAGCTCAACAGAAGTTAGGTGATGCAACAGGACAACGACCCAAAACACAGAAGTAAATCAACAACAAAATGGCTTTAACAGAAGAAAATGCACCTTCTGGAGTGGCCCAGTCAGAGTCCTGACCTCAACCCCATTTTGTGGGGGGTTGTGCAACTACAGAAAAAGTTTGGTTGAGGTTATTGCTGCCAAAGGAGGGTCAAACAGTTATTAAATCCAAGGGTTCACATACTTTCCCACCCTGCACTGTGAATGTTTACACGGTGTGTTCAATAAAAGACATTAATACGTATAATTGTCTTATTAGTTTAAGCACACTGTTCGTCTATTGTTGTGACTTAGATGAAGAGCAGATCAAATTTTATGACCAATTTATGCAGAAATCCAAGTAATTCCAAAGGGTTCACATACTTTCTTGCCACTGTGTGAAAAAAACAATTTCCTTATTTACATAAGTATTCAGACCCTTTGCTATGAGACTTGAAACTGAGCTCAGGTCCCCAAGAACACAGTGGCCTCCTCCATTCTTAAATGGAATTAGTTTGGAACCATCAAGACTCTTTCTAGAGCTGGCCGCCTGGCCAAACTGAGCAATTGGAGGAGAAGGGCCTTGGTCAGGGAGGTGACCAAGACCCCAATGGTCACTCTGTTCCTGAGTTCCTCTGTGGAGATGGGAGAACCTTCCAGAAGGACAACCATCTCTGCAGCACGCAACCAATCAGGCCTTTATGGTAGAGTGGCCAGACGGAAGCCACTCCTCAGTAAAAGGCACATGACAGCCTGCTTGAAGTTTGCCAAAAGGCACCTAAAGGACTCAGACCATGAGAAACAAGATTCTCTGGTATGATGAAACCCAGATTTAACTCTTTGGCCTGAATGCCATGCGTCACGCCTGGAGGAAACCTGGCACTCAGACTGTGGCAAAGGTTCACATTCCAACAGGACAACAACCCTAAGCACACAGCCAAGACAACGCAGGAGTGGCTTCGGGACAAGTCTCTGAATGTCCTTGAGTGGCCCAGCCAGAGCCCGGACTTGAACCCGATCTAACATCTCTGGAGAGACCTGAAAACAGCTGTGCAGCGACGCTCCCCATCCAACCTGACAGAGCTTGAGAGGATCTGCAGAGAAGAATGGGATAAACCCCCCAAATACAGGTGTACCAAGCTTGTAGCGTACCCAAGAAGACGAGGCTGTAATCACTGCCAAAGGTGCTTCAATAAAGTACTGAGTTTAGGGTCTGAATACTTATGTAAAATGTAATATTTCTGTTTTTTATACATTTGCAAAAAAAAAACTGGTTTTGCTTTGTCATTATGGGGTATTGTGTGTGCAGATTGATGATGGGGAAAAAACAGTTTAATCCATTTTAGAATAAGGCTGTAAAGTAACAAAATGTGGAAAAAGTCAAGGGTCTGAATACTTTCCGAACGCAGTGTAAATCTGAACACGCTACCAGCGCTTTGAAAACTTGATTTCATTATGCTTTCCTGTGGATAGTCTGACAATCCTACAACCAAAAGGACCAATCGCACGGACAACCGGTAAAGTACGCTCAAATGTAATTTCATTCAACATTCTGGCTTGTAGAGGTCATGGGAGGAAACTTTACTAATTCAAACACTCATTTCTGCCAGGCATAATTCAATGCAATTCAACGTCGGGTTTCCAGGCAAGCAGACAACAAACTTGTATACAGCCAGGGTGACGTTGGTTACCGCAAATTTCACCGCCGAACGTAAACGATTGTCAAAGATCCTGGTAAAGTTAAAGTTAGTCAGTCTAAGAAACTGTCAGCCTTGGAGATGTTGTCACTATGTTAGCTACTAGCTTGTCAACTTGCCACTGAGTAGTGGATTGGTAGTTAGTAAACGTTGAAGTTTGAACAATTGTATAATTTAGCTAGATAGCTACTTAGCAAGCTAACGTTTACTAGTCCAGGTATTAACGTTATCACAAATACTTGATTCTCAATATCACCGATATTACAGCGAGGTCTGTGGAACATGCACGTTTTAATTGGGTCTGTGGTGTGGGGCTGGTGCACAGTGCTTGGCTTGGAAACTCACCTCACTCCCGCTTGAGTAGAAACCCGCGTCTCTCTGGCGCCTATGTTTCTCAGCAATCCCGAGTAAATGTAGCAGTGACGGGTCCTCGCACAACGTTAGTCCAATGTTGATGGGCCTCGGGCCTCCAGTGATTACCTCTCCACCTTCCGAGTCGAAACGTCCCCGCTGCGGACGTTTCTCAGACCGTAGCCGACTACGAGATGTCCATGGCCGGCCAGGGAAACGAGACCGGGCCACGGCCGGAGTGCTAAAGCCAGTCACATTAGCAGGAGATGATAATCCCCCTTCCGCTGCCGCCATTATTCACAAGCAACTACAACAAAAACAACGACGGTGGTACGCTGTAGCTTTGTGGTAAAACAAGATGGAAAGGCGCGAGATAGGAAGGAAATACCGTTGCATCATGGGAAAACGAGTTTGTTGTATTTCAGAATTCTGAGCGTCCTTTCGAGGGTTTATGAATGTGAACAGTACATACATAGACACATTGTTTTATTCATGTTTTATATTTCAATTAAGTACAAATAATATCTAAAAATTGTATTATTCAGTATTCAGTCCACTTGCAGTAAATATTTGCACATTTGACCCTTTTTTCCCTTCTGCCCACTTATTCCACTCCTTTTTGCCATAATATGTATGTATATACACTAAACAAAAATATAAACGCAACATGTAAAGTGTTGGTCCCATGTTTCATTAGCTAAAATAAAAGATCCCAGAAATGTTCCATATACACAAAAAGCTTATTTATTTCAAATGTTGTGCACACATTTGTTTACATCCCTGTTGGTGAGCATTTCTCATTTGCCAAGATAATCCATCCACCTGACAAGTGTGGCATATCAAGAAGATGATTAAACAGCATTATCATTACACAGGTGCATCTTGTGCTGGGGACAATAAAAGGCCACTCTAAAATGTGCAGTTTTGTCAGACAACACAGCGACACAGATGTCTCAAGTTTTAGGGGAGCATGCAATTGGCATGCTGACTGCAGAAATGTCCACCAGAGCTGTTGCCAGAGAATTTAATGTTCATTTCTCTACCATAAGCCGCTTCCAATGTTGTTTTAGATAATTTGGCAGTACGTCCAACCGGCCTCACAACCGCAGACCACGTGTATGGCGTTGTGTGGGTGAGCGGTTTGCTGATGTAAATGTTGTGAACAGAGTGCCCCATTGTGGCGGTGGGGTTATGGTATGGGCAGGCATAAGCTACGGACAACAAACACAATTGCATTTTATCGATGGCAATTTGAATGCACAAAATGCAGTGATAAGATCATGAGGCCCATTGTGAGGCCCATTTTTTAAATGGTATCTGTGACCAACAGATGCATATCTGTATTCCCAGTCATGTGAAATCCATAAATTAGGGCCTAATGAATTTATTTTAATTGACTGATTTCCTCATATGAACTGTAACTCAGTAAAATATTTTAAATTGTTGCATGTTGCGTTTATATTTTTGTTCAGTATAAATATTGTGCAGGTAACCACACATATTCTTATTTGTAATGACAACCATAAGTGGTGAGCACAGCAATTATATAAAATACCCCCAAAAATCTGTCTTTCCATCTCTCTATGCACTTCTCTATGATGCTAATTTTCATTTGGCTCACCACCCGCCAATATTCAGGGAGTATTTTTTTTATGGCATCCATCTCCTTCAGCAGCACCACCCCTATTTCTCCTGTTTCTTTGCTGCTCCTCTACATCTCCATGCTGGCCTTGACCTGGACCCATCCCTCCTTAGCCCATCTCCTCTCCAGCTCACTCCTTAGCTGGTTCAAGGTGTTATTTTCATCCTCTTTCCCCTTCTCCACTACAAGCTTTTGCCTTTATTTGAGGCAGTTATTCTCTATCCCTTTTTGGTCTTCCTTCCCCTTTGACCTCTCCTCATCTTTTCCTTTTTCTGCAACAAGCCTTTGGATTTCCTCCTCATTCTTCATATCTATCCTCACTAGCTCCTTCTGCCACAACAACCCCAAATGAATGGAAAAGATAAGCACCATACAATCTTATTCAGTGCTTATCGTTTCCATTCATTTCAGGGTGACATTTCCCATAACCTTACATTCACATTGATTACAGATTGCAATTTAAATCACTCAGTTTAATGCCATTACTATTTCATTGTGGATGAAAAAAGTACAAGATCACTTGAATACAACAATGACATCCTTCACAGAACAATGGATTCTCCGGACCAATATAATATACTTTACATGATCAGAAGATACCTTGACAGGAACGTAAACTAAATCATGAGTGGAATGGTAAACCATGAAACCCATTGATTTCTTACTAAAATCAATACTATAAGTTACAAAAACTTCTCACATTTGAGGCAAATCGGTAGACTAGCTCTACATCCGTAATATGAATACAAAATTATTATTTTTTAAGGTGTGGGCAATATGGAAACAAATAAGATTCCCACTCTGGGGGGCAGTTGTAATTCACAATTATGCACACATCAGTATAAAGGGTTTTATACACAGTACATTGTTGTTTTTCTAAAAGCACTTTAAAATAACCACAGTGGGACCAACCAGGAACAAGCTAATGATCCAACTGAGTGCTTTTGTATAATGGTATGTCACATACTCCAAACCCCTATCTTGAACATAAAAAACCCACCCACATCAAGGCCTGTTTTACCCAAAATTATATTTTTAAAACCCTAAACCATTACATACATTTTCCATGATGATATTCCTTTTCCCCAGATTATCTCTTTTCTTTGTCTGTTGCCTCTTCTCCCTCAGTGTGTGTCTTCTGGTGTGCCTTTAGGTTGCTCTCCCTGCCAAAGCTCTTGCCGCAGGTTGGGCAGTTGTGTCGGCCAGAGCTGTGAGCCCTGGCCATGTGGGCTTTGAGCTGCTCCGGCTGGGCATAGCTCTCTTCACACTCAGAGCAGGGGTGAGCCTTGCTAGGTTGAGACGGATGCCCGTGCTTCTCCTTCTTGTGGGCCCGGAGAAGGGCAACAGAGGAGAACGTGAGGTCACACTCAGCTTCAGGACAGGGAATTTGGAGCTCCTCCTTAGGGGGTCGCCCCGGTCCTTTTCCTCTTTTTGCCACAGACTCCTCTCCCCCCTCCTCAACTTCTCTGCTCTTCTCTCCGTTTGCTGCCTCTTCCTCAGCAGACTTCGGCTCAGCCTCAGACACTTTCTTGGGAGGTCGGCCACGTTTTTTGGCCGGGACCTTTGCATCGCAATGCTGATCACCTGCAAAGTTCTCCTGGTGCAGCACAAGATCCACCTCTGCCTCAAACCCGCGGCCGCACTTGCCACAACGGTGAGTCTTGGTGTCATCATCCTCCTCTTCCAGTGGCTGGGGGTGCTGGGTGAGGCGGTGGGTGCGTAACTGGTTTGGGCCCCGTAATACCACGCCACATTCCTTGCACACACACTGCCGCTCTTTGCACAGCTGTCGCCGGTGGACTGTCAACTATGAGAGACAGAAACAAAAATTATAAGAGGCTCAGGCCATCTTGAGGAAACAAACACGGGGACCAAGGCACCAATGGACAACAAAAGGCAGATGTACTACAGAGCACCTGCCTAGCCCCCGGTTCTTTATCTTTATTGGGATTCCCATTAGCTGATGCCATGACCACAGCTAATATTGCTGGGGTCCTAATCTCTCATGGACAGACTACGTAAACATAACTAGTACCGTAGATCTGTCTGCATTCTATGGGATGCGTGAGATAACGAGAATCATTAATTAATTCTGGGTCTTGTGCTGTCGTCACTGGTTATTTGGAGGCATCAGGATTGGGTGAAGGCGGTGCTTAACCATTGACACTCATGGGAATTGGCCTATATGGACAGGGCTAAATTGAAATGAAATGTATTAGACATTACACTTGATTTTAGTGCATTTTACATTTACTGTACTTTTCGCTGCATTTGTTAATAACAAAATCTGAAAATACTCTGGATACATTCAGTAACATAAGAATATTCCAGAAAAATGTGGGGTAGGTGCAACATAAGAAGAAAGAAAAAAATACAATGGTTTTACTGAGAGGACTAACTGGTGTCTCCAAGTGGCCACACACCTCTCCTAAGCGTGCACAGTTCCTAAGTAATTTCAAGCAGTTTGAAGTGACTCAAATCCAATTTATTTGCATTTCCGATTCAAATCTGTTATTTTTCCTGCGGTCTGAATAGCAAAGCCAGATTTCTAACCACCTTCATATGTGGTTTGAAGTCAGATACAAATCTGATACCTGGCCCTATGACTTGTGTCTGAACGGTCAAATCTGATTTATTTTCCCTCAAGTAGTTGTTAGACTGTTATTTGCCATATATTTTTGCTTGCTAGCTACTCTGTTGACAGTTTGACAAGAACATGAGGTTGTAGCTAGCTAGCTTGTTAATTGTTTACAAACAAAATGAGTGAATGTGCTAGAAAGCTAAACAGCTACCTAGCTATAGTTGACTGCTGTGACTAGCTAAAAAGGACTTGTTTTGAAATGTGGATCTTATCCTTTGAGCATTATGGCCTGCAGTGTGAACAAGGCTAAAGAAGAGTCTTCAACTATAAGGTGCTTTTTTGAGCTGAGGAACTAGAGCAAGGGGGGGCAAAGTACGGCGCGCCAGGCACTTCAATCCGGCCCGCGAGACATTTTTTAAATGTATTAAATATTATTATATTTTAGTTATGATTTTTGGCCTAAAATTACTCATTCCATGATATACAAACAACCTCCAATAGATGGCGCTGTAGCCAGGCAGCGCGCTCTGTATTTGGCCCTTCAGTCAGATTCAGAATGCGCCATCATAGCCACTTCATTGCCTGACGACTTTTGACGTGAAAAATTAGTGCTGCGAAAATGAGAAAAGTGGACTCAATGATGGGAACAACCAGGGGCTCTGACTTATATGACAGCGTGTCTGCCTGCTTGGAAAAACGGACAAACGTCACAACAGATGGATCACCAAATCTAACCGGTAAAAACATTTGCCTACTAAAAAGATTACAAGACAAAGTAAAAGAAGAAAGCCCTAACTCAGAGGAATTTATATTTATTCACTGTATTAATCATCAGGAAGCCCTGTGTAAAAGTGTGTTAACGCTGGAAAATGTTGTCAAAGTGGTTGTAAAACTTGTCAACTTTATATGGGCAAGGGGGCTTTAACCATCGTCATTCAGCTGCTCAATGACACAGAGGCAGAGCACCAGGACCTGTTGTACCATTCAAATGTGTGCTGGCTAAGCCTGGGAAAAGTATTTCGCCGTGTGTGGGAACTGAGAGGGGAGAAAGGTATGTTCCTTGATACGGTTGGTAAAGCTGACGACTTCTCAGAGTTGAAAGACACAGACTGGCTGGGCGACTTTGCTTTCGGTGTGGACATACTGGGGCATCTGAACAATCTAAATGTGAAACTGCAGGGAAATTGTGTTTTTGTGCATGAACTGTATTCCAACGTGAAAGCCAAACTTATGTTGTTCTCTAGACAAATGAGCAGCCGGTCTCTAGCTTATTTTCCGACAATGGCCGCACTGAACGCGCCCATATCGCAGTGCCGCACTGAGACATACAGTAGCACTTTGATTGACCTGCATGCTGAGTTTTCCCACCGCTTCTCAGACTTCACCAAGATTGAGACTGAGCTGGAGCTTGTACCATGCCCAGTCTTTCGACAGTGAGAAAGCACAACCAGACACACAATTGGAGCTCATCGACATCCAGTGCTTTGAAGGAGAAGTACAAAACAGCAACAATAGGCCAGTTCTATGGCTCACTGAATGAAACAAAGTTTCCAAACATTAAAAAGCACGCCCAAAGGATGCTTGTTTTATTCGGGTCCACATATGTGTGTGAACAAACGTTTTCAGTCATGAATTACAACAAATCCCATCACAGGACAAATTGAACAAATTACCACTTGTCAGCTGTTCTGAGAATCTCTACATCAAAGATGACAACAGACTTTGATGCCATTGCCAAGAGAGGTAACCAGACCCATTGTTCACATTAAGACTCGAATAACCGTGACTGGGGTAAGCAAGGATTATGCTTTTTCATGGTGATGGTTATGCAGTGAGAATTATCCAACAATGCACTTGGATACAGGTAATAACTCATCCGTCAGATTTGGGCTGAGGTGATAGGATAACTGTAAATATGGCTCACAATGGAGATGATAATTGTTCCTTAATATGCTTTAAAAAAACAGACCATTCCAAATTAAATGGATGCTCTTACCATATGATTCACTCAAATGTTAGAATCGTTTTTTTTTTTTTACACATCTGTTGTTACATTTTGCATGTCTCCAGTCATATAATATATATTTTTAAGTTTGCATATTGTGACTAAGTTTGATTGTACTGTACAAGGGTAGAGATGCAGGATCTGTGTGTGTGTGTTTGACTGTGTCTGTGATGTTATAAATTATATAAATGTTGTAAAAAATGTGTTCACAAAAAACTTGAACAGAATTGTTCTGCAAGCATATGCACACCTAAAGTATACTATTAGTTGCGTGTCAATGTGAAAATTAATAAAGGCTTCACATGTTTTGTCACACATATAGCATGTGGCCCTTCACCTGGTTTCAAAAACTCAATGTGGCCCTTGAGCCAAAAGGTCTGCCCACCCCTGAACTAGAGCAAGCACACTTGTAGTTGTTTTGTTCGGAACAACCCTGCAGCCCCGCCATCGCACAATTACTGTTGTTTACGCAATCCAAAAACAGCCCATTTTAAAATCGCAATCTGGGTCAGGTGGGCATAATTTGAAAGCTTGTTTTATTGCCAACATGACTAGCTAAGTTATAAAATATGATGTCTGTGTTAGGCTTTCACAAGGCAATTCAGCTAAACAGATCGTAATTTTGGGGCGCATAGAAAGGAGTCATGAGTGCCTTCAGATGCGTGTTCTGCAGCGAATTTTCTTCACAATAGACAAACATAGGCTCATTCTGTTCAGAACAACCCAGGTTGACGCTATTTCATCTTGTAACTGTACATCAAACAGTGATCATAAATGTTTGACACTGTATATGACATGAGTTTTATGATATGAAAATTTGAAGTGCACATTTGGACTCAAGGGTGTTTGGCTTGCTTGTATGACATGAAAGTGGTATTTATTTTAATCTTCAATGTCTCATCTTTCAAAATACATATAGTCCTCTTCATTTACAGCATTCCCTCACTCAAACAACAAAACATTTGCTAAAGTTACCCAATTAGCAGGAAGGGTGGGGGTAACTTCTTGCAGCGTGCGGTGCTCAAGTTCAGAATGACTGTCCGTCAAAAGCCATACAGCCCTGTGAAGCGCAGAGCATGAGCTCTGATGTCATTTATAACTTATCAGTGGCCAAATCTGCCATTTTCAACCTGGGTACGGGTGTAAAGGGTTAAACTACTTTGCTTCAACAGATGATAAAAACAGGTGAAAATATCAGAAGAGAGGGCTTTGGCTAAGAGTTTCCTTTTGCGAGGGTGGAGACTTCGCAAACCGGAAATCTCAATTTCTTACATGCTTACCCCCAAAACCCAATCGAGCATCTGACCAAATTAGGAACGATTTTAGTTCTGGGTTAACCGAGATTACTGGGGTCCTTACACACACACAACTAAAAGTAATTACAGACAAGACTTTACAACTTCCATTGAAAGACAGTTCTCTCACCTCAGAGAAGGTCCGGAAGCTTCCCTGGCAGTGGGGGCAGCGGAAGGGCTTGTCTTCCAGGCTGTGTGAGGTCTGGTGCTGTGTCAGCTCCTCAGAGGAGGAGAAGGTACGATCGCACACATAACAGGTGAACAGCGTATTGGTCTGCAAAATAACACAAAACAGCAAATAATTAACAGTGTTAGAGGTAATGTACATCATTATATATGCTGTGCATATAGGGCTACAGCATCCTACTGTTAAGCTGTGTGCTTTGCAGCTCCGGGGTGAAGTTTCCCCTAGGTACACCATACAGATTTACGATCAGCTCCCCTCCCAAATTCTAAACTTAACCATTACTAAGGAAAATCCTAAAAATGACCCAAGATTAGCATCACTCGGGCTCCCGAGTGGCGGAGCGGTCTAAGGCACTGCATCTCAGGGCTTGAGGCGTCACTACAGACCCCCTGGTTCAATTCCAGGCTGTATCACAACCGGCTGTGATTGGGAGTACCATAGGGCGGCGCACAGCGTCGTCCAGGTTTGGCCGGTGTAGGCCGTCATTGTAAATAAGAATTTGTTCTTAACTGACTTGCCTAGTTAAATAAAGGTAAAAAATAAATAAAAAATCTAGGGGCAACTTCACCCTACTCCTGCAATGCATCTTGCATTTCTTTTCTCCATTCCGTACCTGTTGGAGCGACTGCTTGTATTCTTCACGATGGCTCTTCCTCATGTGCCTCTCCTTGGCCTTGGCATTACAAAATGTAATGAAGCACTGAAAACACTGTAGGCTGTCATGCTGATCTGCAATAAGAGGAGATACTGCACTTCAAATTCAAACACATTAACAACAATCTGAAATATACAAATGCAAATGTTCTTACAGGGTTGGAGAGCAGGAACAGTCTGTGGTTTGATGGTGGTCGCTGTGGCACTGGTCATCACCTCTTCCCCCAGAACGACCTGCTCTATGTCCAACATAACATTACCCAACTCCATTGACGTCTGAATCCACCCAGCAATGCAAACACAAGTTTACATCGGGCTGTAACAAAAATATAGGCATCATCAGATGTGTGAATAAATTAATATCTGCATCATTGTCTTATTTTGCTCATCGTGTTAATTGGCAAAACTAAGCCCGTGTTAATTGTCAACTAATAGCTAGCCAATGTGAACCTGTGTGTATGTTTCGATAACTAGTTGGTAGCTAGCTAAGTAGCCAGCTACAACCAAGTGAACAAAAATGCGCCGTGCGTGGATCAAATGATTGAGGAACTTGATGAATGATAATTTAGCATGCTAACTAGCTGGGAAGGCTGGCTGGCTTTGCCACTAGATATACTTTTTACAGAACAGTAAAAGGCATTGATAACAAACCAGAAAAACCGCAAATATAAGCAAGCAAAGTAACGTTAGCTAGCTACCTAGCTTCAGCCAGGCAACGCAGACAACACACAGGGAGGGGGAAATATTGGGAATTTCAAACTGGAACTGAAGCAGACATTTTCCACGAGAATTATAAAAATAGCATTAGCTATAATGTTGTATTAGGTTTTCATGCAATTTAAAAAATATATAATTTGAGATTGCACAAGAAAATCAATTTATACGTAGCTAGTAAGCTTCAACCGTTGCTTACCCAAAGCGTCCAATGAAATGAAGTCTTTGTGTGAACGGTTGACCCATATCACGTGACACTGGATGTTACTGGCTTGGCCATCACGGAAGTTCGGCTCTTTTTACTGACTCGGGTCTTTTCGACTCGTTTAGCCAAAAGAACGAATCATACTATGGAGGTAAATCATTGGCATAATGAGTACGTTTACATGCACAGTAATAATTGAATTGATAATGGCAGTAGGCAGATTATGCAATAGTCATGTAAACACCTTACTCTGTTGATCTTAATCGCCATAAGGTCCAAATCGAAGTAAGCATATGCCGATTAAAACACCTGGGGCCTCATTTATCAATATTGCATAGAAACTACTCTAAAATACTACTTACTAATGTCGTAGTAAATATATAATGTTATAGCTTGGTCTGACTAAAATCTTGTGCATGACCCATCTTGTGTTGGGCCTTTGTATTTAATACAATGCACAACAGACTTCTATCTTGTCAGCCTTATCAGCAGGTGGCTATGGACAACACCCACGCCATAGGTCTCTCAGTTCTTCCAACTCACGAGTTCTTGCTCTGAGGACACACACACACACACACACACACACACACACACACACATCATCACTGATAAACACACACACACACACACACACACACACACACACCACTGATAAACACACACACACACACACACCACTGTTAAACACACACAAACACACACACACACAAAAACCCCCTTCTCTTAGGCTGAACATCTGAAGACAGAGAACCCGACTCAGAGCCAATGCAACAGTGACACTAGCCTGGAGGTGACCTCGCCCAACTCATCAGGACCAATCAGAAGATCAGAACGACTAGATTCAACCTACTTCATTTTATTGTATAAAATGTCAGCACACAATGTTTAGGGGCTCTCTCAGATATCTCCCTACGAGATTGACGAACGGGTCCGTGCACGCGATTCCAGATATCTTTACCTCTGAATAAACTGCCTTATATTATACCATTATCCACCCTGTCCAAAGTCTCTACTTGGTCTCAGTTCTCCAGTAAACTTGTTTTATCAACACTAACGAAATTTAGAATGTTCATAGCATAGAAAAAGTGTGATTTATCGAACATTCTCAACAGCTCCCGCCTGTAGGCTTATAGGCCAACAGTGCTGTTCCACAGAATGAACGAGTTGCGCGTTCCACCTTGCCACCACATTCAGGAGCGTCTTTTGCCTTCTACTCGGTAAATTGCCGCGTGTCGTTGTGGCCGCCCAAAGTGGCTCGCGTGTGGGTGTGCTGGCAGCATACTGCTTCAATAATTCACCATAGCAAGTTTGTAATAAGGTCTGGTTATTAAATTGGTAAATAGTTTAATCCATTCTCCATTTCATGAATTTATTCACAGGTAAATAGTAATATGCTCTAAACCGCTCTGGTGACAAACAAACTTTGCTGGCCTGTTTCCAATCATCCACATGGCTGGGAGAACCTATTCAAGTAAGTAAATACATTTCGAAAATGTAAGAAAACAATGTATTATTAGCTAACTAGCTACAGTACAGGCTAACTCAAGTGAGATGCCAACGTAGCTAGCTAGTTATCTAGCCAACTTTACATACTGTATAGCTAGCTAAGTGAATTAAATATCACCAGCTACCTAACTTCATATTAGCTAGCAATCTTGATGTATTTATCATTGTAAAAAACAAACTCCAAATGCATTTGTATGTAGCTAGCTAGCAGCCATGGAGGAGGATGAAAGGATAGCAGCCCCAAATGTCAAAGTGAGAGAGTAGGCTATTCTGGATAGGGCCGGTACTTTTGTGTAGTTCCAGTCCCTAGAAGTGAGGAATGAGATAATAGTAACATAATATTCAGTGCTGTCTCATTTGAGTATAATGAAGTCTGTTTCTTGTGATGTTTTCTGTCCTCAGATACAGAGAGCTGTGAAAGACTGTCTGCAGATGAAGAGGTCCCAATTAAGAGCAGTGGTTCTCAGTCCTGGTCCTGGGGACTCACTTGTTTTTGCCTTAACACTATTGTATACAGCTGATTCAAAGGATCAACTCATCATCAAGCTTCAAGTGGTATTTATGTATTCATTTGTGATGCTATCCTGGATATGATCCTGATGTTGTCACATGCTACTGTTAGGTTCTGAACAAACAGAGTAAAAACTCAAACGGACGACTTGAAAAAGCTCAAACCAAGTTTATTCACCCACTGGGTCATACAGCTGCAAAGAGAAGGTATGATTACAAAATTATATATATTTATAACCTCCTAATAGGCGGGATCAACTCGTTACACATCTAGACAGCCAATACATCTCTTTTGCAAGGCCGGAACTTAATTGGTTGCTCTCACTGGTGTAGTCATGGCCCTGCATGATGCTAGAACCTTCGTGGGCGTGGAAGTGTATGTGTGTGAGATAGGACTGTAGTAGGAGGATCGTCGTGGTGGGCCCCTCTGCTAGAACCTTTGTGGAAGTGTATGTGTGTGAGATAGGACTGTAGTAGGAGGATCGTCGTGGTGGGCCCCTCTGCTAGAACCTTTGTGGAAGTGTATGTGTGTGAGATAGGACTGTAGTAGGAGGATCGTCGTGGTAAGCCCCTCTGGACCCCCTCCCAGAGGTTTCTTCTCACTTCACCTGTTGACTTGACCTCGAGCCGAATTCCTCGCTCTTCCCTAGATCTGCAGCTGGCCTGCCTTATCAGAGACTAACTATTGCCCTTCGCCTCCCTCCTTAGAAATATGGAACAGAATATTAACTTTCTGCACTTCCCATTATCTCACTCAGTAACTTTCCATACACTATGTCCCTTCATTGACCCCAACATATACATTCCTTATACATGTAAAGTAGTCAATAAGTTATAGTATGGTAACATGAATAAGTATATTTCAAGCTAGAATCCAACAGTCCCTCCTTTTTTAAGGAGTGTAGTGTGTTACTAATGGTTTTCTTTGAGACTGTGGTCCCAGCTCTCTTCAGGTCATTGACCAGGTCCTGCCGTGTAGTTCTGGGCTGATCCCTCACCTTCCTCATGATCATTGATGTCCCACGAGGTGAGATCTTGCATGGAGCCCCAGACCGAGGGTGATTGACCGTCATCTTGAACTTAAATTTTCTAATAATTGCGCCAACAGTTGTTGCCTTCTCACCAAGCTGCTTGCCTATTGTCCTGTAGCCCATCCCAGCCTTGTGCAGGTCTACAATTTTATCCCTGATGTCCTTACACAGCTCTCTGGTCTTGGCCATTGGGGCGAGGTTGGAGTCTGTTTGATTGAGTGTGTGGACAGGTGTCTTTTATACAGGTAACGAGTTCAAACAGGTGCAGTTAATACAGGTAATGAGTGGAGAACAGGAGGGCTTCTTAAAGAAAAACTAACAGGTCTGTGAGAGCCGGAATTCTTACTGGTTGGTAGGTAATCAAATACTTATGTCATGCAATAAAATGCAAATTAATTACTTAAAAATCATACAATGTGCTCTCACAACGGCTCTCACAGTTGAAGTGTACCTATGATAAAAATGACAGACCTCTACATGCTTTGTAAGTAGGAAAACCTGCAAAATCGGCAGTGTATCAAATACTTGTTCTCCCCACTGTATATAATAGTTAATTATATGTGTTTCTTTTACTCAGACTGAGTCTATAGAGGTTTGAGAGGTTTGATATCGCATAAGATAGATGACTGAGAATTTATACCTTTGTTAATTAAATATATTGAGAATCAGGTTGGATTCAGGTATAGAAGGTAGAAAGGGGTGAAATCTCAGTTATCTAGCATAGTTTAGGCTCTAGTCATATATATATATATATATATACTACTGATTGGGAATATTGTATTTTATATGAACTGTTGGGGGTTAAGTCATTTTACTTGCCACAAAATAAGAAAAAGAAAAGTGGATTGACATGAGGTTTTTTAGTGTTATGATGTCATGTCATAGTATCGTGGGGACCAGGTTAGTTACTAGATAAGTGGCTTGGTGCCACAGAGTCTACATTCCGTTATGTCAAAGGAGATTAGTGATGTTTATGATAGCATGATTGATGGACAGGATATACTGACTTGGGGTAAAGAGTAATAACATCAAAGAATGGGAGTGCTCATGATGATTACCAGATGTTCGTGGAGAGACTTGTAACAGAGTGTATATATAGAGAGAGTGGATCTTTGTTCTGGAGTGAGGGAGATGAGAGGCAAAGCTCTGTCCTTCTGTTATAACTAACCATGTTACCATATTAAATATCTTGTATGAACTCCCCATCAAAAGTGTCTAAGTACATCCTTACATTCGTAATCACTTGATACCCTAGAAACTCATCATAACATTGATCTACAAGCATTACCAAGTAAATGCTTGTGCCTAGAAAATGTATGTGTCGTTAATAGACCATATGGTCCTTATGCACAGGCTGTAACATTTTTAGGGTGAAGTCAGTCAGATCACATTTCAGACTTTTCTTGGACTGTTTCACTCTGATATGGTGGACTAGATTAATCTATTTCTGCTGTGAGAAAGTGAAATGACCTCAAATAAGGCAATTGCAAGACACTGATATTCATAAATAATTTGTATAGCATCATCAACAGCTGCAATTTCATGTAACATCCCCCACAACAATTTTCCATCTGTTACACATGACAGGAGCGAAACACTGATTCAGAAACAAGTAGCAATTCCAAGATTACATTTTATAAGTCTTAAATAAACAATACATATAACTGTTGAATTGTTTACCTATTTTAGGGTTCATAGAGCTTTATTGGCGACTTTAGACAAAGCAAAAACAGGAAGGCAATGAGTGAGAGGAAACACATTCTTGTTTCAATAATCTGTGAATGATGGGTAGACGGTGAATGACGTCATGAGGCCATTTTCAGGAGAGAGGGAGGGGACAAAGGAGAGATTTAAGACCTGGCCTGGTCCTTCTGCTGGAACTCTGCAATTCGGGTCTCCATGATAGGCCTGAAGTGTCTGATCAATCCCTACAGAGAGAAAGAAGAGGAGAGAGTGAGTTACGAAAAGGGCCAGTCACCAAACTACACTATTACCAAATCAAATCTGTTTAAATAGCTATCTCTCTGGACAGATACAGGCACAGCCCATAGAAACCTGTATTAGTTACCACCAATACACACTAATGCCTAATTCACTCTATATGGCTGACCGAACCAACCGTACTGTGCTGGCTTGGATATTTTATTTTCACTATGGTGGATAGATGTGTAGCCAGGCCTGCCCAGGATAGCTCAGCTTGGCACTATAGTGTGAATGAGGCATAACAAGTTGAGCCTCAGTGTGTTTATATCTATCTCCTGTATTCACCTGTACGGGCCACGCGGCTCCATCACCCAAGGCACAGATGGTGTGCCCCTCAATCTGTTTGCTGATTTCCCAGATCATGTCGATCTCAGCCACCCCTGCATCACCCTTAACAAAGCGCCACATCATCTTGTTCATCCAGTCCACTCCTTCACACAGGACAAGAGAAAAAGTTTGAATGAGTGAGATACAGATGGGAATAGGGTAGAGACAAACAGACTTGTAGCACTCTTTAAAGGTACAACATTTGAATCAAAATAGTTAAGAAAGTAAGTAGCCTTGTGCGAGCAAGGACAGCCCAAAATGGTGGGCCAACCAGAATGTGTCACTCAAAAATATCCTTACCCTCCCTGCAGGGGGTGCACTGGCCACAGCTCTCGTGTTTGTAGAACTCAATCAAACGGGCAATGGCTCTGATGACGTCCGTCTGCAATGACAGAGTACATCTCTCAACAACATACACTACCAGTCAAAAGTTTGGACACACCTACTCATTCCAGGGTTATTCTTTATTTTTACATTGTAGAATAATAGTGAAGACATCAAAACTATGAAATAACACATATGGAATCATGTAGTAACCAAAAAAGTGTTAAACAAATCCAAATATATTTTATATTTGAGATTCTTCAAATAGCCACCCTTTGCACACGCTTGGCATTCTCTCAACCAGCTTCATGAGGTAGTCACCTGGAATACATTTCAATTAACAGGTGTGCCTTCTTAAAAGTTAATTTGTGGAATTTCTTTCCTTCTTAATGCATTTGAGCCAATCAGTTGTGTTGTGACAAGGTAGGGGGGTATACAGAAGATAGCCCTGTTTGGTAAAAGACCAAGTCCATATTATGGCAAGAACAGCTCAAATAAGCAAAGCGAAACGACCGTCCATCATTACTTTAAGACATGAAGGTCAGTCAATACGGAACATTTCAAGAACTTTGAAAGTTTCTTCAAGTGCAGTCGCAAAAACCATCAAGCGCTATGATGAAACTGGCTCTCATGAGGACCGCCACAGGAATGGAAGACCCAGAGTTACCTCTGCTGCAGAGGATAAGTTAATTAGTTACCAGCCTCAGAAATTGCAGCCCAAATAAATGCTTCAGAGTTCAAGTCACAGACACATCTCAACATCAACTGTTCAGAGGGGACTTTGTGGTCGTGTTGCTGCAAAGAAATCACTACTAAATGACACCAATAAGAGATCTGCTTGGGCCAAGAAACACGAGCAAAGGACATTAGACCGGTGGAAATGTGTCCTTTGGTCTGGAGTCCAAATTGGAGATTTTTGGTTGGTGTGGGTGAACGGATGATCTCCGCATGTGTAGTTCCCACCGTAATGCATGCAAGAGGTGTAATGTATTCCAGGGTGCTTTGCTGGTGACACTGTCTGTGATTTATTTAGAATTCAAGGCACACTTAATCAGCATGGCTACCACAGAATTCTGCAGCGATACGCCATCCCATCTGGTTTGGGCTTAGTGGGACTATCATTTGTTTTTCAACAGGACAATGACCCAACACACCTCCAGGCTGTGTAAGGGCTATTTTACCAAGAAGGAGAGTGATGGAGTGCTGCATCAGATGACCTGGCCTCCACAATCCCCTGACCTCAACCCAATTGAGATGGTTTGGGATGAGTCAGACCGCAGAGTGAAGGAAAAGCAGCCAACAAGTGCTCAGCATATGTGGGAACTTCTTTAAGACTGTTGGAAATGCATTCCAGGTGAAGCTGGTTGAGAGAATGCCAAGAGTGTGCAAAGCTGTCATCAAGGCAAAGGGTGGCTATTTGAAAAATCTCAAATCTATTTTGATTTGTTTAACACCTTTTTGGTTACTACATGATTCCATATGTGTTATTTCATAGTTTTGATGTCTTCACTATTATTCTACAATGTAGTAAATAGTCAAAGTAAAGAAAAACCCTTGAATAAGTAGGTGTGTCCAAACTTTTGACTGGTACTGTATATCTCAATGTGTTAGATCAAATTTCGGTTCTCCTAGACGTAAGAATCAAATTTCGGTTCTCCTAGATGTAAGAATCACTTTCTCATCAGTGTTATACTGTTACTTATACATATAGGGCTGGTTTCCCAGACACAGATTAACCCTAGTCCTGGACTAAATAACCTTTTCAATGGAGATCTTCCATTGAAAGTGCTTCTTAGTCCTGGACTAGGCCTGATCAATGTCTGGGAAACCAGCCCATACTGTGTGGGTGAGAGCTTACAGATTTGTCCATGACGATGAGAGCAGCGGTGCCGAGGCCAGTCTGAGCCTGGACCAGGCCGTCAAAGTCCATCAGCACGGTGTCACACACTGAACGGGGGATGAGGGGTGTGGAAGAGCCTCCAGGTATCACACACAACAGATTGTCCCAGCCACCGCGCACGCCACCTGAGAGAGAGACATACACTTCTGTCAGTTGAATTGAGGCTGCGTGTGTGAGTTAATGAGCAAGTATGAGATAAATACTGTGCCTTACTACTGAAAAAGATCTGTAGTGGCATTAGTGTTTACTAGGCAACCTGATCCAGGGCTTTGATACAAAACCACCTGCTATCTTAAAATCCTCTGGATTGCCTTTTTACTAATTTAAGACAACATTCAGTACATATATATTGGATATCTTAGAACTGACATTCATAAGCAGATGTTTGCTAACTGTAGTTACAATGGTGAGGTGGTTAGTATACATTGGGAAGAGACAGATGCAGCTCAGTTTTAAATGCTCACGGTGGTGTACGCTAAGGACTTACCTGCGTGCCGCTCGATGAGGTCCTTGAGAGGAATAGACATCTCCTCCTCCACTGTGCAGGGGGTGTTGACATGACCCGAGATGTTGAAGAGTTTTGTGCCCGAATTCCTCTCTCTGCCAAAGCCTAGGAACCACGTGCCACCACGGCGACAAATAGTGGGCGCCACGGCTACTGTTTCCACGTTGGCGACAGTTGTTGGGCAACCAAACACACCTTAGAGGGAACAAAACGGTCAACAAGTTTAGAATTAAACTTTTAGAAGAAAAGTCAAAGGATATTTGGATGTTATTGGTATTGAAGTAGGTGTTTGGTTGAACCTCTAAATTGACCTATTATCATCAATAACATGCCATTGCCATGTCATGATTAGTTCCATATTGTGGTATGACTACATCATGGGGAGGACTCCATCTCCCTCTCCACCTCAGTAACTCACCCACATCAGCAGGGAATGGGGGCTTCAGGCGGGGCTTCCCTTGCTTGCCCTCGAGGGACTCGATGAGTGCCGTCTCCTCTCCACAGATGTAGGCACCGGCCCCACGCATCACAAACACATCAAAGTCGTAGCCAGAGCCGCAGGAGTTCTTCCCAATCAGACCAGCCGCATAGGCCTCATTGATGGCTATCTGAGGTCAAAACCAGGATCAAAGAAGACATCAATGAATGTCATTCAAAATCGATTACCTTAAAGGAATCATATATGTGTTCAATTTAGTAAGAACATCGGAAAAGGTGAAGGTGAAAAAGTGTGCCACATCTAAGAAGAATTGCAGCCTAACTGCCTAGAGATCAACCTCAACTGTTTTGTAGTTATGAACTTGTTTTACCTTTTCATGCAGTCCCTGCTCTCACCTGCAGGTTGGAGGACTCGTTGTAGAACTCTCCCCTGATGTAGATGTAGGCAGCACGGGCTCCCATGGCCCTTCCTGCCACCAGGCAGCCCTCCACCAGCTTGTGTGGGTCGTTACGCATGATCTCCCTGTCCTTACAGGTGCCAGGTTCTCCTTCATCAGCATTCACCACCAGGTACTTTGGCCTAAGGAACAGATGAAGGGGGGGATAGGAGTTTTAGTTTTAGATTCCTTACTCAGGTCAAAGTTGGCACAGGAGTCAAATGGGGGTTAGAATTGGGGGAGTGGAAGCTGATCCTAGATCAGTACCTAGGGGAAATGTCACCACAGAGCTTTAAATGAGCAATAAGGGCAGTACCACTGACCTGCCATCACTGGGCTTGTTCATGAAGCCCCACTTCATGCCAGTGGGGAACCCGGCTCCACCTCTCCCCCGCAGCCCTGAGACTTTGATCTCATTGAGGATCCAGTCCACTCCCTTCAGCAAGATCTCCTTGGTCTTGTACCAGTCACCACGACTCTGAGCTCCCTTCAACCTGGGACAACATAGGGAGAGAGGGATAAATATGACACCTAATTCCTAAGAATACTACAACATTAGCATAATACTTTATAAATAAGTAATATGCATGGAATGGTATATTCTTATACATATGAAGAACACTGGCCCAAGCTCTCATATCCCAAAGGCCAGCATTTCCAACATTGTGTACAATGTTGTGTAGGGAGAGTAGGGCTGTCCCCAACTAAAAATAATCTTGGTCGAAATTTCAAAAAGTGTATTTCTCCATATATTGACACATCTTATGTGTTTTAATCAAATCAACTATATTCACTGAGCTTGTCTGATGCTTTAAGCACACTGTTTGATTAAATAATTAAGACACACAAATTACTAGAGGGAGTCAAAAAACAGTAGGTTATTCTGGCTGGAATTGTTACACTCCTGCTATGTCAAAATTACTGACATGGCAGATTCGGACGGGACTAGGAGGTAAAGGTGGAAAGGGAAGGTAAATGGAGGTAAAGGGAAAGTCAGATGTGTGCAATAAATTTGACTAGTAGTGGAAAATACTGGAGATCAAGAAAAATAAGGTGCGTGCATATTATGTGTGCAAAACAGGTGATGTATAGATTACTATATAATTTTCCTGACTGTTTAGAACTATGTAAACAACACTAAATAAATGATAAGCGTATCAGTCTTTTGTAAAAAAAATGTTAAGCCTTTGTTACAGCAAAGAGTAAAAACAGTCGCATTCATTAGTGAATGCAATTTCCAAAAAGGAACGGTTTATTTATTGTTTAAGCTAATTATTAGAGGCTTGCTTTATTTTATTTTAAAACTAAAATGCATGATTGCATTTCAAATCATGAATAACTCGTATACTGTGTGATGACATGAACAAATGAATGATTGATTGATACAGTAGCCTATATAAGTATTGAAATATAGGCCTAAGTAAGTTACGGTATTAAGACTAAAAAGGATGCGCTCTTACGCCTACAGCTCAATGGTGGTTATACAAGGTTGCTATATTAAGCCTACTAATGATAATGACATTACTTATGATCATAATAATAATAGTAATAATAACAATAAGAAGATCAAGAAAAAGGTGCGTTATTGTTATAATACATATTTCTGAGAATTTGGAACAGTGTAAACAACACTAAATATACACTGCTCAAAAAAATAAAGGGAACACTTAAACAACACATCCTAGATCTGAATGAATGAAATAATCTTATGAAATACTTTTTTCTTTACATAGTTGAATGTGCTGACAACAAAATCACACAAATATTATCAATGGAAATCAAATGTATCAACCCATGGAGGTCTGGATTTGGAGTCACCCTCAAAATTAAAGTGGAAAACCACACTACAGGCTGATCCAACTTTGATGTAATGTCCTTAAAACAAGTCAAAATGAGGCTCAGTAGTGTGTGTGGCCTCCACGTGCCTGTATGACCTCCCTACAACGCCTGGGCATGCTCCTGATGAGGTGGCGGATGGTCTCCTGAGGGATCTCCTCCCAGACCTGGACTAAAGCATCCGCCAACTCCTGGACAGTCTGTGGTGCAACGTGGCGTTGGTGGATGGAGCGAGACATGATGTCCCAGATGTGCTCAATTGGATTCAGGTCTGGGGAACGGGCGGGCCAGTCCATAGCATCAATGCCTTCCTCTTGCAGGAACTGCTGACACACTTCAGCCACATGAGGTCTAGCATTGTCTTGCATTAGGAGGAACCCAGGGCCAACCGCACCAGCATATGGTCTCACAAGGGGTCTGAGGATCTCATCTTGGTACCTAATGGCAGTCAGGCTACCTCTGGCGAGCACATGGAGGGCTGTGCGGCCCCCCAAAGAAATGCCACCCCACACCATGACTGACCCACCGCCAAACTGGTCACGCTGGAGGATGTTGCAGGCAGCAGAACGTTCTCCACGGCGTCTCCAGACTCTGTCACGTCTGTCACATGTGCTCAGTGTGAACCTGCTTTCATCTGTGAAGAGCACAGGGCGCCAGTGGCGAATTTGCCAATCTTGGTGTTCTCTGGCAAATGCCAAACGTCCTGCACGGTGTTGGGCTGTAAGCACAACCCCCACCTGTGGACGTCGGGCCCTCATACCACCCTCATGGAGTCTGTTTCTGACCGTTTGAGCAGACACATGCACATTTGTGGCCTGCTGGAGGTCATTTTGCAGGGCTCTGGCAGTGCTCCTCCTGCTCCTCCTTGCACAAAGGCGGAGGTAGCGGTCCTGCTGCTCGGTTGTTGCCCTCCTACGGCCTCCTCCACGTCTCCTGATGTACTGGCCTGTCTCCTGGTAGCGCCTCCATGCTCTGGACACTACGCTGACAGACACAGCAAACCTTCTTGCCACAGCTCGCATTGATGTGCCATCCTGGATGAGCTGCACTACCTGAGCCACTTTTGTGGGTTGTAGACTCCGTCTCATGCTACCACTAGAGTGAAAGCACCGCCAGCATTCAAAAGTGACCAAAACATCAGCCAGGAAGCATAGGAACTGAGAAGTGGTCTGTGGTCACCACCTGCATAACCACTTCTTTATTGGGGGTGTCTTGCTAATTGCCTATAATTTCCACCTGTTGTCTATTCCATTTGCACAACAGCATGTGAAATGTATTGTCAATCAGTGTTGCTTCCTAAGTGGACAGTTTGATTTCACAGAAGTGTGATTGACTTGGAGTTACATTGTGTTGTTTAAGTGTTCCCTTTATTTTTTTGAGCAGTGTATTATAATACCAGAGACTGTTCTAACGAAAACAAGTGTAAAGCCTTTATTACAGCAAAGCAAATATTTAAAAACAGCCACATTTGTGAAATTGTTTAGTTGACATGTCGTTGTGTGAGGCTTGGCACTCAAGGAATCAGCAGGCTATTAAAGAAACACTCAAACAGGCAACAGAAGCAGAATCTGTCTTATTTCTGTAGATATGTTGATGATTTATAAAGCCAGGCACATTTAACAGTTAGGCTATTGATTATAGACCTAATTAAGTTGAGGTTTCCTCTCTCCTCACTTTTCTTAGACAATAAGGCAAGGGCTGTTTTCTCATCCCCTCATTCTGCTGCTGCCTCCGCCGCATTGCTCTCAACACCAATATGCTGGTTAACTTTGCTATTATGCACATAGCAACATGGTCTAGGAAAAGGCGCCAATTCAACAGTGCACTGATGTGTTTCTGAACCGCGGACAGCAACCACTATCCAACGTAGGAGAAAGTGCATTTGTTATAAAATAATATAATTTTTATTCGGTGTTTTTTATTACTTTTTTTATTTAACCTTTATTTAACTAGGCAAGTCAGCTAAGAACAAATTCTTATTTACAATGATGGCCTACCAAAAGGCAAAGGCCTCCTGCGGGGACAGGGGCTGGGATTAACAATAAGAACATACATCACCACAAGGTGTTGCACCATTGTTCTTATGTAATATAACCATATACAATTTCAGTAGCACATGTTTTAGACTGATGGACTGTGCCATCCCCACTGCCTCCACAATGGATCAGTCCACTCAGACAGGTGTCTTGTACACCATACTTATTTATATATTTTTTTGCTACTGCTTGACTAAAGAAATCTCAGTCTATCAACAGCCTATCGACTAAACAATTGACTAAATGGGGTCAGCCCTAATGGAGAGCAGTTTGTGATGGTACCTCCAGTCATGTCTGCCATACAGGTTGGTGAAAATTCTATCCTGGTCAGCCAGGGGTCCAAATGTTGTCTTCTTTGGCGGTGCCTAAAGAGATTGTAAAACTGTAGGCCTAATCATCTAAATACAATATAGAGTATTTGCTGCCTGCAGTCTGCAACTGTCAAGTTTGCACTTTGTTTACGCATGTTGCGTGGAAGGATACCTCAGCCATGCTGTTGAATCGTGTGATTGCAGTCACTCCGCCTTGACAGACAGCAACTGGGGCCGGAGCCGCCGCATACACCAACGCCCGCCGGGACAAGGTCAGCATTCTGATGACTGGTTGAAGGACAGGATGGGCAGGATGCAGGAAAGTACACAAGTCGATAGTTCAGAAATTATTTCAAATGTAGCCACAATACAATTAAATCCGCTGGGCAACATCTAGGGCAGGCTTCAGTTCCATCCCCATTACAAAAGCTTGAGCAACATTACAAAACCCAATGGCAATATGACATGACCCAATTACAACACAAAAACATTAGGCGCAGTTACATGACTGGCATCAATGCACATCATAACATCCACGGAAGCTTACCTAACGTACTGCTTATGTGCCAGGCAAATGCCCAACTTCTCTAATTTAAGCTATTTTTCGCAGCCACTGAGTTAAAGAAAACACTTGTCATTGCCAACTCATTAACAATAAATTGCTAGCTAATCAGACATGTTAGGTTGGGATAAATAGCACTGAATTGTACAATTTCCCGGATTTATGTTCAAAGGTGTATAAGGAGAAATCGTCAAATATATAGTTAGCTAAAAGCCGAACACATTCTACCCTGACACTGCACTGGCAGGACCTGCATAGTACGTCCCACTATGACCTCCACTTTGATTGTGATAGCTAGCTACCTAACTAGCATGCTAAACAGGAGACGACAATCGACTTCTGGTCCATAAAACTGCTCCAAGTCTCATAAGAATCTTGTTGTTTTGTGTGCTGTATTAATGTAGCCATGAAAACAACAAAATCACCAATGTTTTTGTTGAAGAGGTTTTCGTACCTTAGTGTTGTGTCCCGAGCAAGTGTTACTAAATATTGAACGGAAGCTAATGCTTCTAGTTCGGAAACAGTCCGCGGTGTAAACAGGGTTGCCAGGTCTAGCAAAAATGTGTAGTCAATTGACCTCTGAAAACCAGCCCACAAGGCATGAAAACTGTTTTCGCGGCAAAAGATTAATAAACAATTTTCCATAACGTTATAGAGCGAATTAAGAAGAATACCGACGTCATTTTTAACGACGTAGGCTAAGAAGCAAAATCCGGATTTCCATCAAAATAAAGATTATCGTGAGTTTAAGAATATGTAGCCCTTATTAAACTCTCCAGATCATTTTCCATCAATGGATGTCAATTTTACTTGTTTTGACTGCTATGATTAAGCAATAAGGCCCGAGGAGGTGTGGTATATGGCCAATATACCATGGCTAAGGGCTGTTCATAGCTCTTAGCCGTGGTATATTGGCCATATACCACAAACCCCTGAGGTGCCTTATTGCTATTATAAACTGGTTACCAACGTAATTAGAACAGTAAAAAGTAAGTCTTTGTCATTCCCGTGGTACACGTCTGATATACCATGGCTTTCAACCAATCAGCATTCAGGGCTCAAACCCTGAACGCGTTGCGTTGTGCGTAAGAACAGCCCTTAGCCGTGGTATATTGGCCATATACCACACCCCCTCGGGCATTATTGCTTAAATAAATCCTGTTTGCACATGTGCATAACTATAGATAAATCCGACAGGAGAGTTTGAGTGATGAAAGTTGGACAGAGGATCTCGAAATCTCTGTGCAAGAAACACTTGAACGAACTTCAAAAAAGGAATGTTGGGCTATTTTCTGGCAATTGTGCCGTTTTTATGTGCCAGATGTTAAGACTACAAACCGTTATAAATGGCCTATTTGCTAGATTGACTTGTTATTTCAATAGGCATAGGCTATTGACTAAAATCTGGGTTTACAATTGCAATTCAACTTTGCCATGGTTGGCTGAGCTAGACGCAGGTAGCCTATAGGCCAATAGGCCAACATGCCAACATCTAATTTCAGAGTAAAGTCCACAATGAAACTGACATTAAATGTAGAGAATGATACATTTGCGATAGAGCTGTGACCATGATCACAATTGATAACTTCCAATTTAATTTACTAAACATGGCCATTAATAATTGCATAATAACACAAGGCTACAACAACAAACTGAGTTATAGGCTATTTATTAAATCCGTTTGCCAGCTCCAGGTAGCACAAATTGATTGGCACATTGATTTGCAATGACTCCAGTGATATCATCATTTCAATATATTTATTGTATCAAATGGTAGGCTACAGTAGCCTGCAATGGAATATACATTAATAGCCAACTTGGTGGCCAACAGATGCAAATGTAGCCTATCATTCTCCACATTTAATGTAATTTTCATTGTGGACTTTTTCTCATAACACAAGCACGCGAGGGATTTCCAAAACTTCCATTTAAAATGTCCACTCAAGCAGCGCTCCAGACCCTAGAACTGAGTATGAGTAAAACCCTTCGCTTGATACTGTTATCCATCAGAAAAGTCAACATTAGAATGCAGTTTGCTTTAAAACACCTCTGGGCGAATTTATCTAAAGAGCTCTAGTACGCCTAAAGTTGTTTTCCAATGCTTTGTCGCTGTTAAATCAGTTCTAGCGCGTTAATATGTTTTATGGGAAATGGGTGTTTCCATAATGAGCAATCTAAATAGCCTACCTACAACTGGTAAAAAGTTGGCACGAAGTGTGCTCCTGCTCCTCTGTCTCCTTGACTCAGCTGTATGGAGCGTGATAGCTGCCAAAAGGTTGAACCTATCTATCTTTAGGATCATAAGAAAATCCATATATAAATGGTTAGGATTGTAAGAAAACATGAAATGTAAATATTAAATTAGATCTGTAAACGTACAAACCCTATGTTACGACTATGAATTAACATTTACACATTCAATTCTTACTTTACATCTCATTTTACTCGGTTACAGATCTTTTTTATGCTTACAAACTTTTGTCAGTAATGTGGCATCTGCAAAGGACATGAATCGAAAGTAGCTAGTCGAAGTTAGCTAGTCAATCAAGTAACTATAGCCCAGACAGTAGTTGCTTTGCAGCTTCCGGTTTCATTTCCAAAATAAAAGTGTAGAGCTTGTTTTAGAACTGCATTCGATAACAATGTTATACCAGTAGATGGCGTAGTATAGGCTTGGGCCTTTAGCTAATGACTTGTGTGAGAATGATAAAAGACACAGAAGAGCCTTGTCTAGAATAACCGCCTGAGCTGCAAAATAGAAAGTAAATATGATTTAGGCTTATTCCGATTTCTAAATATGCCATGCTATTGTGTGTTATTTAATAGCCAGCGTGGGGTTACTGTGGTGATCATGTAACCTAATGAATCACACTTTTTCCAGTATTTGGGAGCACGGACTGTAGGCCTTATATTAGGCATTTTGACTGTTGTATTAGCGAATTCCACTCTGTATGTAGGCTTGTTATAGCCGTTTGCATTGCACAACCCCACCACACAGAGGCTATATCCATATCAATAAATGAGACAAAACAAAATATTGATTAAGTCTTGGCTATAACCTGTCCTGAGCGAAATAGCCAAGGGGTCCCAAATGGTCAAGACTATCTATAGCCTATTCTTATTGCCAGATCTGTTTTCCCTATCAGCCACTTCATGTGCTTCTTCAACTACTTTGTTTAAAATGTATTTACAGGCTATATTTAGAGGCCTGTGAGTTAGGGTCTCTCTTTAAGGGGAGCTCTATAATAAAAACAGTTATAAAACACATATAGTTCTCAAATTATTCTGCAAGACACCAGTACCCAAAATGAAAGCCTAAATTGCAATGCCTACAAGTTGAAGGCCTATTTGTATTTGGATAGGCCTAAATTAAACATTGAATTATTAAAGTGATAGGCTAAAGAACTTTGGAGAATTTAGATCATTTTGAATACACTCATGGATTTCAATAAATAAATGGATAAGACTGTTCTATTCTCTATGATTTAGTTCCTATTGCAACTTAGACAAATGACAGAATGGATGACATACTGTCTGACTGAACTGAATGAAGGATTAATGAAATGTTCAAATAGGTTGGAATGACGAGTTTGCACGCATCATGCATGCTCTACACTTTAGTAGGCAAATAAGCCTACATTAGGGTATAATGACTCTATGGCTGCGTGCCTCCACAAGGCCATCTTCTGAGGCTGAGGGGTGCTTTTCCGAAGGCGCATGGGGTTGTGGTGCTGCATGGAGATCACAAGCTCTTCAACTGGGCAGCAGTGTCGCAATGGAGGGCCTATACAGAGACTACCTAAGACCACTGCAGCAGAGTTATTGTAAAGTGTGGGAATAAGCTTATGCCAGACTTAGCCTACATTTAACCTCTCCCTTGTTCATTTCAAAGTCTGTATGTGCATGACCCGATTCATATAAATCATGTCAAATTATTTTAAATCCCTCCTACAGAATAGAGTGGCAAAGACACCAGTGGTCATACATAAATCATAGTTTCACCAAACATCTATTATTATTCTATGTGTCATTATTCCTGGTATATACTACTGGTTATGATTGCAGACAGAGCCCAGAGAATGGGATGGTGCAATATTGTATTAGTAATATTTTGATAAGCTTGGGGATGTCCACGTCACCCAGAGATATGCCCATGCTGAGATATACCTAGCGGACTGAAACTTCACTGTTGTAGTTATAATACAGTAACTGATGATGCATGGAGGTTATAGTCATCCAGCTCTTTATAATGATCTGCTGTCTAAGAAGTGTGCTGACACTTATTGATATTCTACAGTGGCATGTCATACAGATATGGCAGCTACATACACCTTTCAGACTGAGGCTGACCATCTGATTGTGGTATTGTGGAAACCCAGTCAGATACAGTGCAATTCACTGAGTCCTCAGCCTGACTGTTTCAGCGTATACAATACTATTTTCACCTACATGCATAAAGCAATCTGGTTGAGAGAGCTCCACTAGTGCTCAATGTGGTGTGGATGACCGTCTCATTACAGACTGCTTCAGGGGATCTGACCCATCAAATGCCACATAAACTTCAAGGTGATCTCGATTCAGATGCCTAATCTCTCCTCCTCGCTGTGAGCAGGCCTCATCTGGAGGGAAGCTGCCACAGCATCTTGTTGAGCAGCTAGTGTAACATGTAAAACCAGGGTGTGCCATGGAGAACTGTAGAGGGCGATGAGATTAAGGGA